CTTTGACAAGCAACGAAATCAATTTTCTCGTTTGAGTTCATATGATTGCCCTGACGCATGTGAACCCTGAAGTCCGTTATGAGGCTTTTACGTGGGAACGTAAGAACATGAAACTTAGGTGATTCACAACAGAAAAACATGCATACATGCGACCAATTTTTGACCATTCAAAGATGACAGGTTTGTCAACAAAGCGGTTGAAGGTGCTTTCAAAAAATTTTTTTTTGAGGAATTGACTCAAGTAAGTTCTGCACCTTTGTTTCCGCTGATTCTGTGTAACATGTTTAGTAACTTAACACCTCTTTCTTATTTAATACCTCTACTTCCTTCTCTCTATCGCTAAAGAAAAGTTTGTTTTTTCTGAGATGGCGACGCTGCTATACATATGCCTAATTTTTCAAGTTCACTGTCATAGGAAAATCGTAGGTAATTTTGCAATTTTGAGAGAACTCAAGAAGAAATAAGGTTGGACACGGTACTATAACAAGCGCAACCTATTCTGACCACTCTCACGTTTGTTTGTAACCAACAATCCTATAAGAATTAGCATTTTGTATGGGTGCACCTGTTTCCTCATGGTTTTTTGTTATGTTTGGAACTGCACTCATTTTTTGTGTTTCCGGCACTTCCGGCATTGGAACCAAATGCATTTGTTTACTCGAACAAGTTTGGTTAATTCTGCTGTATAAATAAAATTCGAAGCTCTCTCTTTCAAGCAAAAAAAAAAATCAATTCAAATAGATGGTACTTGTAACCTTCATAGATTATTGCCACACTTAGCTAAAAAATTCTCTTTTATTGAAGTTCAGGTTCGATGTGATCAACGTCCACTGCAACAATGTGCCAGACGTTTCGTTTGAATGCATTTGTAATCCTTGGGGCAGAATCTAAATGATGAAATTCATTAGAAAATATGCAAATATTCAGGACAACAGCCAAAAAAAAAACACCGCTCACTTGTGTGAACAGCTTCTTCCGAGATGCACCGTATCACCGTACCATTCTTTCTTCATCAGCAGGGTTCCACTTTTGCATTTTGGATTTCGCTCCTTTTCCCATTCTTCTTCAAATAAACATAAAATCATTATTTAGTTGGATGGAGCGTTTTTGACGAATGCATGTGCTGTGCCTCAAGTTTACAAAAGACGGCAAGTTCTTATCTCATTTTCTTTGATTTAGCACATTGCGCTCTAATTATCGTCGACTACGGTAAAAAGGCGCCTGAATAGTTGATTTTATAGAAAAATATTATGTTCAGCACATCATTTCCAGTGCTTCCAACAAAGCTACGTAATACCTTCATTCTTAATATCGCAACAAAGTCCAGCTCTTATCGATCCCATCTCGCATTTGCTACCAGCTGGACAATTCTTATCGGTTTCTGAGCATGTACCCATAGGCTTAGCATTTCCACCACATTTTTGCTTATCAGCTGTAAATTTTTCCACAATAAAGAACTTTTCCACAATAGGATTTAAGGATCTGGACTTCAAGCAAATTGGTCAATCACCTGGTATACAAATTCTGCGGCAGGATGTGTCGTCGTAGAAAGTATTTCGTCCTCCACCACATCCCTCGTAGAAATATTCGAAACAGTTGGCCAGTTCCTTGTCATAATACCACTGGAATTTTATACCTTTAACAGTTTCGGAAAAGTGGTTTTTTGAGTGATGGCTTAATTGCCTTGTTGCAACTCAGAGAGATGTGGACAGGTTTTTGGAGGACACTTCCGTGATTAAATGGTGCGCAAACCGTTCTTGCCTCTCTTCCTCATACTTCCTCACAACTTGATTTTTTTGAAGGCAACGTCAGAAAAAAACAAAATTAAGCCATAGATGGTTGAACTCATTAAGTCCCCTTCCGTACTTTGTTCTAAAACATTCATAATAACTATAATTTGACATTTTTATCCAAAACACAGCTAGATAATATATTTCTACTACTCAAAGACTTTTTCCTAT